GGGTCTACTCGCCTTGTAACAAAATTGCCACAGTCGTATTTCTGCACTAGCCCTCTCAGCAGGCCATCGCTCGCAAGCTCGTCACACCGCCCCTGGTCATTCGCAGCTATGCACTTTTGACTGCCTCGCTATCCAGACACAGTACCGTCGCACGCCCTAGCGTTATCAGGTAGTCCAAAACATTGGGCTGCGCCAGTGCAAATCTATCCATAAGATCCCTAATGGGGTGCCGCATTATCATGTTCGCATCCCCCTTCACTGTTGCCGTTCGCAAGGCTTACCTTGACGTGCATGGTAGTCCTGTTACACCTAGTTGCATCAGGTGTTTGGACAACCTTGTTTCACTAAGCTGCGTGGACGTAACTTCAGATTAGGCACCGTTGCTGAATGCAGGCTAGGCCGCCTACGCGTCTACACCACACCCAACCAACTCATACATTCATGCAAAGGTTATTAAGTCTATCGTCATTGGCTGCTTTGAGCTGGCTCAATTCCAAGGTCACTGCGCGTTCTTAGTGCGTGAAAATGATACCGGATACACTTTATTTGCACTAATGATTATGTTCGATTAGCTTGAAGGTGCAATTCAATTGCACTATGGATGCAATCAGTCGGGAAACGTTGTAGTCGTGTGTTCCGCGTTCAAGTCTCGAGCATCTTAGTGCCCCGGTCGTTTGCATGTCGTCCGTTTTCGCGAACTCAGTGTGTCACCCGAATAGGTGCATGAATAGAGGCCATGCTCAGGTTACGCGTAATGCACGTTTAAGCTAACGCAACCAAACCTGCGCAAACCCACTACATATTTGACAGCACAGCTGTCGAAACATGACAGACGAGTACACTGATATGAAATTTATGCTGAAGCAGCAACTCAAAATGATGTACGTGATAACCGACAAACTTTCTAGTTCTTCCCTTCACGCAGGTCTGATTGGTAATTATCAATCAGCGGACATCAGTGAATTCCTGTACGACGCCAGGGCTGGAGCAAGGTTCGATTCTTGGTATAAGCGGTAAGAGGACCTGTTCACCGTTGACCTGGCCTGCCAGGAGGACGCTTTGAAGGTCCGGCTGCTTCTGCGCAAACTAGGTACGCTCGAACACGACGTTACATTAATTTCATCTTACCGAACTACCCACACGACGTTACTTCAACGAGACGGTCCGAACCTTGTCCCCGACTTTTGGCGAGAAGTCCCCCTTTTTCATGCCCGTTATCAAAGTTTGCAGCCGGTCAAGCGTGACATCTACGACTCTATCCCGTACGCGAGCTTGGTCAAGCGTAAATGCGAACTTTTTAAACTTGGTTCGCTCACAGAGGTCCAACTCTAATGCTTGATCTTTGTCTCCGGTCTACAATCTGCACACAATACTAATATCTGGACGCGCCTCCTATCCAAGCTATAGAAGAATACCACACTCACACTCCAGAACTTGGCCGAGGAGTGTCAAACTCTGCGGAAACTGAAGCAAGACCCAGCCGCTGTCCAGAACGTCGCCGCATCTGATATGCTCCAGGCAGTCGCAGCACCAATGTCGCAATCATCCGTGCGTCCCACCCAACCCGACCGAGCGGAGTTCCCACCCTAGGCGTGCCGGTTCTGTGATGCTTGGCGTTTCCACTGAGACTGCGATTTCCGCCAGCATCGGTACCAACGTTTTGGCAGAGTATGGCATCGGGATGGTTGCTGCCAACCTACAACTCCCAAGGGAGCCAAAACTCGGCTGGCCCCCACCCGCGATCCAAAAAAGAGGCCCCGACTCAGACACAAACCCAAACCTAGTCTGCATGGCAGCTCCCTGAGCCGGCTGGCCACGTTCCAACTCAACGCGGCGGATCGTAGAAAATTTGTCGACTTCTCGGTCAACGGTCAGTCTGTCCGATACAGTGGGACACTGCGTCGGGCATCACGATCATCCCCGAGGATCTCTGACGGTCCTTTGGCAAGCCTCCATTCGAACCGACCTGCCAAGCAGTCTCCATCGCCTGTGGTGGTCGCGTGCAGCTAAGTAGGCATCTACACTACCCCATCTCCTTTCAAGGCTCCCCATTCAACGAGATCTGCTACAGTACGATGGTGCAGCTCAATGTACTTGTTCTCGACAGGCACAAAATCCTTGGCTTGGCCGATCTGCCTCTTCGGGTTATCTGCAAAGCGCTATATTCTCCGACAGTACCAAACAACCGAACCAACCTCATTAACAAACAGTTCTCTCCGTATTCCTGTGTGGTCCTGGTCGCTGTGCAGGCACACGCGCCGTGTTACAGCTAACGTGGCCAAGCCTGCACAAATCGTTGCAGTTTAGCTCTGACGTTTTTGCTTCAAAACCATGTAAGATTGTCTTATGTAATACGGCTCACTAAGTTGGGCAGCACGACGGCAACCATAACCTTGGAAACCGTATTACTCTAATTTAACTTTGGCGACGTCTGTCGAATCTCGCCCTCTGATAAATCCTAGCAATTACCATGGCAGGTGCAGCGGTCAGTGTCGGATGAACTTTGACTGTCATCAATTCGTTAAGACAGAGAGAAGACAGAGGTTGCGATATGTCAACATTTCGATTGTTCTCTTCAGTTCCAAACACAATACGAGCAGAAACACATAAAGGATTATATGCTTGGAAAAAATAAGCAACATCAATCAAAATGTCACGGTCAATACCATGGTAACCGAATTGATTGCCTCAAGACTTGCTGTGCACATAGCACAGTTTGATAAGCCTTAATTAACAACGCCTCATCCATTTCCAGCATTATCGTGTTGTGTTACGTAATAACACTTTGAACGCTGTCTCGGGGTTTACGTGATGACGGGTTGTCATGAGGTGTTTGGTGATAGACGATGCCAGGCTCTGGTTAATTCTCAGATCCGTCCCGTTTTATTGAGTAATCTCTTGTCCCAACCATTATGACAAATGTTCAGCTACCCTCTGAGCTTGGCCTATGTAAATGTCACCGCAACCGCAAGTGAACTGACAAACAACGTGAGAGACCGAACTACCCAACACGATGCTCTGACGGTTATGAAGAACAAGTCCTCGCGTGGTATGCTTGAGTTGCAACTGGGCTGTCATGTAGGTGCCATTAGGGCGGATCGGAGCTTGCGTCCAATATCATTTGCCACATGGTCCCCTTTGAACGGCAAGAACAAATAAACATCCATTTTCTCAGCCGTCAACACCGGTGTTTTCACCCTGGGAGGTCTGCTGTTTACTTGAATAAACTTCTCAGGATATCCATTAGAAATTAAGGTCTTGCATAGAAGTTCTTCTTCGGCTTTCAACGTTTTGGGACTGCAACTATGTCTAGCGGGGTAGAAGAGCTTTTACTAAACCGCGTCTGTATGTGATCGGAGCGAAGCTTGAAAAATGAAGGAATTGTCTATTCCAACTAGATTTGTGGTGAACACTGCGCTGCGACGTACCTTCAGCCTGTCTCCTAATGAGTATATTCAAAAACGCCAGCAAATTGTGTTGTTCCACTTCATGGGATACTGACAGATTAGGGTGAATCGAATTCAGGATGGTCAGCAGCCGGATAAAATGTTCTCCACTGGTGAAGACTAAAATGTCATCCACATATCGTCTGTACAATTTCGCTTCACCTATGTTAGCAGCAACTTGTCTTTCTATCAGGCCGAGGAAGATGTCGGCTAAAACTGGTTCCAAAGGGCTGCCCATAGCGACCCCGTCAACCTGTTTGTATGCGGTCCCCTCAAATTCAAACCGTATGTTCTCGGTGCACAATAGAATCATATCCTTTAAATACTCCACTGGCAGGCCCACAGACATTCTGACACAGGATAAGATCACATAAATTATCAATCATCTCACGTAAAGGCGCTTTTGTGAATATGGAGTCCACCTATATTGAGTACATAAGCTCTGCACTCAGTGACAACTGTTCCAGCGTCTCAGCCAGTTCAAAGGAGTCTTTCAGGCAATACGTAGAGAGGAGTTTACGCACCGGATCTAATAGTTTAGCCAGCCACCGCGCGACATTGTGATAAGCAGAATGGTCTTGACTGCGACATTTTGATTGGCGTTGCTTATTTTTTCATGTATATAATCCTTTGTGTGTTTCTGCTCGTATTGGGTTTGCGACTGAAGAGAACAATCGAAATGTTGACTTATCGCAACCTCTGTCTTCTCTCTGTCGCAACGAAATGGCTGAAGGGGGCGCACTGTTTTACTTGTCATATGTTCACCTTGTTATCAAAGGTATTGCCTATATCGCACGGTACTACGTTATCATTTTTCAAAGGACGCTTGTTACTAGTAATTGGTGAGTTCAATTAAAACACCCATTTTTTGAATGGATTGCCATACGCAATCTCAATATGTCTTTTGCGGTACCTTACAGCGATTTGCAAGTACCTTTATCTTTGGAACAGATTTGTAACAGACGGATGTATGACGTTGCACGCTCACAACGCTGCATGCCATAACCAGTTTCATAAATGTCTGAACTCTCTATTGAATGCATGAACACAATCGTTGCAGACAGCCATGAACTTCACTGCGTCACAGCAGGAGCAACCGTTTCGGGACCTAGCTGACATGTCATCAGTCTTAGCTGTAACCGAAACTCAAAGTTAATAATCCGTTCACTTACTAGGTAGTTGTAGCCCACGGCGCTCAAATCTCCGATGTTATTTCTGCGCGTATCAGTAAGCTTTTCACACGTTAACCACTTACAGGAACGTGGAAAGTATTTACTATACGAAAATAGCAAATTGCAAGGCTCCAGATCAGTTAGTGTTAGGGTACGGACAAGATCAAGGCCACATCAATGCGTGTGGTACTGTGGATTGAAACTTAGTAGCTGGGAAATATTCTTTGCGGACGGTGTCGATAAAGTTATATTTCCATGCAATTTTGGGCCAATTTATTTTGTCAATCCTTTATTGACACTGCTTGATCCTGAGGGCAAGACTTTTATGACGCACCGTAAAACATGCCCGATACTCTTTTACAACCTAACTTGGCTGACTCACCCGCAAAAGCGTGCACATCGAGGCTCTGGCAGTAGGTTTTCGATAATGCGCCGTATAAAATCTCGGACTTTAATGGATCGGAAATTTTGTTTCGTTGGCTCAGCCAATCATCAAAACTCCATTTTGTCATTTCTACGAACTCTGGTTTTATGGCAGCAAATAGGCTGGCTGTGGTCGTAAAACATTCACCGTCGTCTTGAAGTCTGTAAATCCTACAAAGGGAACAAGAGACATGGGGTAGAAATCTGCCAGATGTCTGCATCATCAGAACAAAATTATATACAACGAAGAGTATAGAGACGTGCCTGCCAGATGTTGAGCTGGCCAGTTTTTGTACAGGTGCTATTGCCGTGTAGTTCGGGCTACGATGCTATTAGATTTCAAGCAACGTCCGTTCCGTTTATGCAGATGGGATGAACTGTCGTAATGCATCCCATTTATCCGAACCAGAAAATACACATAGACCTCAATGGCACTGCGCTTGAAGTGATGGCACGGAGCATAAGCCGCATCGGCGTGTATATGTATATAAACATGTGATTTGCTACTTTATGGTCTATGTCAAGGGTCACCAAACTACGGCCCGTGGCGTTAGTTCGTCCGGCCAGCCAACCATACTGTATACCTTTTCTCATTTCGTTGCATCGTTCCCCCATATGTTTGCATCGGTCAGGCTTGAAGCTGCATCGCGTGACACGTTGCACGTGGGCACTCGTCCGAACCATGCTCATTGACGTTAGTAAAAGTTCCAATGCAGTCAGTGGCAAGGCGATCACGTGATCTCACCTCGCCAAGTTTGTGATTATGGCTCATACGAGTACGCACGATGAAAACATTTGGGGGAATGATGCAGCGAATTGAAAAAAGGTGTATTTTGAGCAACCAAGTTATCCACACGCCCACCTTAGCTCCGTGCTTGTGCCCTTCACACTAATGCACTTCCGATCATTTCTTTACATGACCCCACTGTGAACGCGTTTACACAATAACGCTGTTTCACCCCAACCATATTTAGCCCCTTCATGTCGCTGATAAGTTTCGACAGTTTGAGTGGTACTCAGCATGTTACTTATTCAATGGGACCGCTCCCATCTCTATAGAATACGGTAAGCTCGGTAGCGTTGGTACCCCTTAGCCAGAACGTCCGCTTGATCCTATTCACCGCTTACGTGCTAATCTAACTTGACCCACACAGTCGCATGGATGACACGGGTGTTGGTTACGGTGCGATCGACTGTCCTTGCTACTGGTACAAGCGAAATATGAGTAAGCCTCGTTTAGACCATTATAACCATTAAGGAGAGATTGTATGCCCAGTGTTGCATTTTCAACAAAGAATGGGAAGTAAAGTAATTTATGTGGAAACTATGGACCGGCAAACCAACTGGGTCTAAGGCGGCCACCCACGTGAGCTAAAACACCTAGCATCATATTAAAAGTTTTCTTGGAATCAACTCTGAGAGAGATGATTCCATAAAAACGTGCTTTGGAAACCCAAATAACTTTCTTCACGAGAAAGTTCTCTGAGAACGAAGCTGTTAAACCGCATTTTCATAAATCGCACTCATTGTTTTGCTGTTTGCTTGTATCTTCCGCATGTATGTAGCAAATGTCTGAGGTAACTAATTTTTGCGTGCGCCTTCACTGTTGAACATTTTTAGTTATCAAAGATGTTGATTATTTTTGAGTTTTCTATGTTGCGCACCACTCACCCATGTTTAACGGAGTGCTGAACTTAATTTATTGTTTTCTTTGCTCAGGACTTTCCCTTTGCCCATTTAATATTTTACAGAAATCTAATCCGGCCCGAGGCCGTCATTTTTTGGTTACTCGGCACGGCAGTGAAAAAAGTTTGATGACTCCTGGCGTATGATTATCATACGTATGCAACAAATAAACTTGTCTCATTCAAAACACATCATAGTCCCTTCCCTTTACTTCAATTGTCAATCAAGGTGGTGCAGCTCACCTTAAAAAATCCCTCATGTGTGAGCTCATGAAAGATCTCAACTTGACCAATTGTAGCCCGTAGCGCCACAGCAAACGAACTGGGAGAAAGAACGATGGGCCACTCAGTGAAGAAAACGAGAGACCACTGCAGCCGTCGTATATCATGAGGCGATAATCTGTGGCAGTCACGTCCTGAACACTCAAGTCTGGCAAGGAACATGAACGAAGAGTGAGAAGTGCAGCGTGCACCAATGTCTACAATTACCCAAATGAACAAAACCACAAGGATTATAAGGAACGTCAAATGTTTTGAAGAATTGCACAGGTACCTGAGTCCGAACTGCATTCAGGGAGGGTTTCCTGTAACATCGAACATCCGGAAAATTTAAGCCAAAGATGAACTGAAACATACTTTTACCGCATTAGATAAAAGCAACAGAAACAAAGACGTGTAAACAACTAGGCGGGATTCAGCTAAGCAGGGGGCTTGGGGCTCAAGAGTAACTATTGCTCTGTGAACGCAAGAACCAAACAGAGACTTCGTGTGTTTGCTGCATTGAAGCTCAACGTACCATTCAGAATTCTAATTAAGAAGTGGTCTTCTGATAAAGACGAAGGTTGTAGGTGTGTATACTCTTCGACACCGTACACACAGCTAACAAAGGATTCAAAATAAGGCCCTCTGAAATCGATTATAGACCAACTGTTTCTCGACTTATGTTACCGGCTACCGCGGTTGGGTTGGAGGCTGTTTTTGAACACACTGTGCTGGGCGCTGTCAATGGATAACAATGGACTCTAGGTACTGCTCACCAGGACTGTGAATGACTCATCCGGGTTTACCTGGTGACTGGCGTTCATCAAATGCCTCAAAATTGGTGGATGAAACGTGTGCTGCTGTCGTAGGACGCATTCGTTTACGGAGTCACTTTGGAATGTTTGCATTGATTGGGACACAGCTACATCTGAATTTAAATGAGAAATGGAACGTGCACTGATTCGACACCGGCCTCTTCACTGAACGCCTAAGCAGTGTTCGAGAATATACGAGCAAGCGTAACATGATGTCTTTCTAACTGATGTGCTTATTCGCTTCCAGGTGCTTTTCATGTGTTCCCCGTTCAACGTCAACGCACTGGAAACTGATATCTTCTGAACCGTTATCATGCAATTTCCTTTTATCTTGTCACTGGAGTGCTTCATAGACTGCAGTGGATGACCATTAGATTGTAGCACGTCAAATAGCGGTTCTTTCCTTGCTCCTGGTGTTTCTCTAGCGCAAATCATATGGGCTCGATGGAACAAAGTCCGGACTAGACATCACTTGTAATCTTAATTACTGACCCTTCCAGGTCACATCTGATCGTCGTGTGAGCAGTATGCTAAGTATGCGAGACCTGTAGAACGCAGTTGCGCATGTCATAGTGAGATATTGGCGCACACGATTGAGCGCATTGGTTGCAAGTGCAATGGATTTAGTCGAATCCAGGAGAAACATGATGTTAATAGAAAGTTTCCGACTTGATAATATCGTCCACTTTCTCTTCAAACACACCCATGTGTACCTCCGCCAGCAAGGGTTTCATCGAGTTGCCACTGGTTACAACATCCCTTTATCGATATGCGTTCCCTTTAAAGTTAAGAGAGGCATAAGCGGAGCATGTAGCTGCCTTCCACATGCAAAGGTCATCAGCACGGGCGCAGCACTACCCTTGACATTTTCGCCGAATTTGGGAATCGAGTGCGAATTGATCGGCCAGCAAATACAAGGCCGCGTCATAGGGATCGGACTATTCCGTCAATATAGTAAACCCACGGAGCGGCATTCACTCATATTGGCTGAAAACCAGATGCATATGAGTGAGTGACCTTGACCTCCAAAATTAGCATGTTGCGTTTACAAATAATTAGCGTTCACCTGTCCTGTAGACATACTCTCTGTCTAACAAGTTCTGGCCTTCCGTATTCCTTTGGTTGGCTGGACGCATGACTGAGAAGTCAGACAGTCGCAGTCTCACAGGGCAACAAAGCAGCAGTACAACAGTGGCGACACGAGTTTCAATCGAACACAGAAACGGCGGCCAGCTTCGAACAATTGCAGGCACTTTTGCAGCGGCAGACCAAGCTCATTGAGATGTTGACGCAGAAGCTGTCAATACAGTTCAGCCTTGGCTTAGAGGCAAGTGAAAGTGTCCCCCTTATAGAAACCCTGACACATCAGTGGCGTGAACTCCAATATGATGCAGATGCTGGCATGACATTCGCTTCCCGGTTCCATAAGTATAAAGACATGTTTCGTGTTGATTCCGCAAATGTACCAGAAGAGCAGAAAATTCGCGTTATGCTCCGGAAACTGGATGCGGCTGAACGTGAACTGTTGATATGTTTCATTTTGCCAAAGAACAGCACTGACTTATCCCTTGACGGAGTCGTCTTAGTCCTGTCACACATTTTTGATGGACAGAAATCCTTGCTCAACGTTCGATACAAGTGCATCTCGTTGGCCAAGAAAGATGACGAAGATTGGGTCACCTACTCGAGCTGTGAAACTCGACAGTCCGAAGATTCACACTTTCACAAAGTGACCGCCGACCAGCACAAACGCATCATTTGCGTCTGCGGCCTATAAGCAGTCAGATTCGGACATACAACAAAGAATACTAAGTAAGCTTGAGCAGAATCCTGACATCACATTGCAGCAAGTTACCGAGGAATGCCAGAGAATGATGATCCTGAAGCATAATGTATCAACAATTCCGCAGTTGTCCAGTACAAAGGAGCATGACCTAATTTGTGCACTCAACCGGACTCGCCAAAAAGCATCAGCTCACGTGAGTACCTCATATTCCAAACCTCCCCTACCTTCTTGGTTTTTTTAGAGAATGGCATTTTGCTCGACACTGCCCATTTAAGAAGCACATTTGCAACCGAGACTGCAAAAGAGGTCATAAAGAGTCGTGTTGTTTGGCACGTGGTCCTACTGTGTGCAAAAAGAATAACGACACTGTCACACTGTTCCGACAGACCGATAGGATCAGAACGATCACTGCACCTTGCAAGGTTGATGGCGTCCACAGGCGTAAGTACACCAGAGTGGAAATCAATGGCAGGCAAGTAAACTTACAACTTGCTACGGCTTCATATATCACTGATCTCGAGCGACACGTGGCGCAGGTTGGGGCGGCCGACACACGTACAAACGACTCATAGCACAAGGAACGCTTCAGGTGTTAAGTTAAAACTGCTTGGTGAATGCAGCAGTCTAGTCAATTTCCGAGGCTAACAAATCCACATAACGTACTTTGTGACAGATAAACCAAGGTTAGATTTACTGAGACTCGATTGGATGGACGAGTTGAACTTGCTCGACCAGTCGGTAAACAGTAAATGCCAGCATTTGCAAGTCAAGCAAGTTACGCAATTGCCAACAATGAATCTTGACTTTGTGCAGCCAAATTGCGGATCTGATGGGTCGATATGAAACCTTGTTCAAACCCCGTTTCCGATGCTGTCGCGTAGCCAGAGCTGAGTTGAGCCCCAAACCAGAGGCCAGACCAGTTGTCAGACCGAGGCGCCTGGTACCCTACACAACTCAGTCTCTAGTGAAAGCCGAGCTACATCGTTTGCAGTCGATAAGTATAACTGAATGGATCCACTATTTAGAATATGCGACACCGATTTTGGTGGTAAAGAAAGCGAATGGTAAGGTCCGTATTTGTGCTGATTTTTCAACAAGACTGGATTCTGCGCTGGAGAAGCACCAGTACCTATTGTCCGCACCAGAAGACGTGTTCTCCAAACTCAACGGTGGCAAATGCTTCACAAAACTTGACCTAGCTGACGCTTACTTGTAAGTTCCAGGTGCCGAGGAGTGCAGAACATTACAAACGGTTAATGTGCACCTCAGGCTTTTCCAATACAACCGGCCGCCATTTGGGGTGAAAGTCGCACCGGCCATTTTCCAGCACATCACTGATACGCTGATGAAGGATATTCCCATTATCGCTTTCTACCTGGATGATGCATTGATTATAGGCCCAGACCCGTAAGACTTGATGCACACATTGGAGAAAGTGCTTTCATGTTTGGATGAAGCTGGGTTTCGATTACGAGCTGAGAAATGTGAGTGCATGTTAGATAGTGTTAAATTCCTCGGGTTTAGCATAGACCAAGAAGGCCGGCGCCCAGATCCCGGCAATATCGAAGCTATCAAACAGATGAAGCCTCCGAAAAACGTCTCAGAGGTTCGCTCATTCCTTGGTCTCGTGTGCCATTACAGTGTTTTTCTACCAAGCCTGCATCAACCCAGAGGTCCGCTAAACCAGTTGCTGACGAAATATAACATTTGGCAATGGACGGGGTAATGCCAGCATTCCGTTAATGCAGTTAAAACAACACTCACTTCTGATCTACTACTGTCTCATTTGAATCCGAACTTGGAAATCATTGTTGCTTCGGACGTTTCTAATTACGGTATCGGCGTGGTTATTTCCCACCTTGTTCCGAACGGAGGAGAGAAGGCTATTGCACACGCAGCACCGTTCCTAACGCCATCTGAGAAGTACCATGCTCAACTCGAAAAAGCAGCACACCATAATTTTCCCCATGAAGCGGTTCCACAAGATGCTCTATGGCAGGCATTTCACCCTTCTGACTAATCGTAAGCCATTGCTGTCGATATTCGGTTGGAAAATAGGCATTCCTATGTTTACCGCGAATCGGTCACGAAGTTTTGCGAATATACTGCTGGCGGGCGATTTCAGTAGACAATATAGACCTGCATAACAAATTGGCCAAGGAGATGCCCTGACTCGTCTCATCAATTCGCACCCAAAGGATAACGATGATTTTATGATTGCAGCCATCAAATTTGAGTCAGAACTTCAGAGAATCCTGACCGAGAACTTAATAAAATTACCAGTGACAGCTGACACTATTTGCGTGGAGACATTCTGAGACAGACCCCTAGAGAAAGTGAGGTAGTACCTGCAAACAGGTTGTCCAAAAGGTGGTATCCCTGCTGACTTGAGGACTTTCTTCAACCGATATGGGTCATTGTCGGTTGTGGACAATTCTTTGATGTTTGGAGACCTAGTTGTGCTGCCAAAGAAATGGAACAGGTGCGTCCTACAGCAATTTCATACCTGACAACCAGATACCAAGCG